ACACGTTGATGATTAAGCATTTTATAAATAATGGCACCGTATTGAAAAGAGACCTCTATGCCTAGTTTATGTTCATATGAGTCGCAATTGGGGTATAATATGCGTGGTATGGGACGAGCCGATGCTAGGCCAGATATGCGTAGTTGGTTAGTCGTTTCGAACTCGGTAATTTCACAGGGCAGTTTGCTATTATATTCGAGACCTGCGAATGAATTCGAATGACGTTATGCACATTATCAATCAAATGCAGCTAACAAGTGTTGCTAAAAAAAAAAATTATATATGCACCATGATTAATAACTCGATAAACATGACCCAAAAAGGTGTGAGAAACAAATTCTCCCACTACATAATTTCTATTGGGCTGAACTTTTTTGGTGATGATCGTATTTACCACGATTTCTGCGAAATCTGACTTTACAGAGATGTTTATAAATATATATTGATTAGGGCTATTAAATGCAGTAGTGACAGTAGAGATATCATGCTTTAAAATTTCATCGTCGAATATTCCAACTTGGAATAAAATCCATCGCGTTCTATCCGTCAATGAAGTGTTAAGAAAATGGTACGGCGCGGAAGAGCGTGGAGTGTTAAGAGAGGAAATTTTGGATTTATATTCCAGCAGTCGTTGGTGGAGTTGCGTCCGTGGGCACGAATGGTCGCGCACCAAATGATTTCTAAAATAAATCGTAGATAAACATAATCATTACGTATTTGATTAAAAATCTCCTAATACAGTGCAGAAACTGACACTCACAATTCCATCCCAGAATCCCAAGTGATAAATAGAATCACATTTTGTTGAACACACGCAGAAAACAATTTTTGTTGTTTCTCAAAATCGTGGTATAGCATGCTGATTACGATAACTGCGTCTGTCGAGACAAATCGGTTTAAGAAAGAATATGAAAAAATGAAATGTATAATTAAAAATATAACTTGTAATGAACCCTCCTGCTTTAAATTACTTGATATTACGGATTCGAAGTTAACTGTTTCCTCCCATGTACCCTTTATTAGGTTTGCTTCAATGGTTCCTTCACTTTCGATTTGCTATAAAATCATGCACTTTAAATCACTATAAGATCACATAGTCTAATTCCTCAGTAACCGTAATACCTACTTTTACTTGTTGATCAGAAACTAAAATATGAATGTCACCAGCGCCTTTACTACGAAGACTCGAAACGAGTAGAGTTATAAGTCGAATATCTTCGTTACAAACGATGTAGATAGCCATATTTGATATATCAATAATAGTCATTATAAATATTGAGATGATAAGAAAACGAGAGAAGTGGAGGGTAATTAAAATAATTTTTTTCTTCTACAAATGCTAATTATAAAGTGTTCTCCGTGAAAAGTCCTGGCAAAAAAGAACATTCGCATCAAAGGACACACCACTTGGAGAGATCGGGTCTCTGAAATTTTTTCTTTAAACCATCTTTTTATACAAGATCAACTTTGACTCCTCAACAAGTTGCACGATCCAAATTAATCGAAGTAAATATGATCCTAAAAAAAAAAAGATAAAAATTCCTTTGTTACCACGACGAATTGCGTTGATTTTTTTCTCAAGTTGATCTTTACTAATCGGAATTAAGCTAACCAATTAGAAAGATTGCGCCCAGTATTTTTCATTTCCTTGCAGATGAATCACGTCATAAATATTTACGTATAACCAAGAACATTTCTGTGTACTTCACGGTATAACAATTTTATTCTTTTCCGATGCAATGCGCGCTTCACAAACGTGTGTATCGATTGTTCGCAAAAGTAATCTTACAGTATTCAATGGTAAAACTTGAAATTAAATATACTTTTTATATAGTAGTATTATTATTTATTTATTTTTTACGGTAGTTAACCGAAAATTAAGATAGTAAATCCAATGTCGCGCTTTTAGAACTAAACTTCGACCAATTTATATGATTACGATTTTGAATGTATCCTCTCAACCATCCGTCATCACAATAGACCTTGGCTTAGCAGATCTAACAATAATATCTCTTATAGTATTTTTGGTATCCCTACTTTCTATATCCTTTAAAAAAAAAAAAAAAAAAAAAAAAAAAAAAAAATCCTATTTATACTATCAATTAATCGACCCTTGTAATATTTTTTAACATCAAACTTTGATTCATTAATTTTTTCTCCCCACCAACTGTATCCTTCCATTTTCAAGTGTACTAATCACCAATTCGCGAATTAATTATAAATATCTTGTAACAGTATTTGAGGAAGGACCTATATTTTCTTAAATAGCAATGAAATTGGCATCATACAACCAATATTAACCTAGGGGAACTGATTCACATTACATCTAAATTGAAATTTGTATACGGGTAAGCTCCGGAGGTCACAAATATTCAAATTGATCAAAAATGGGAATGATCAATTTTTCGGGTATCGGTCAAAAATAATCGTTTATCCTATCTATGTATTTAGCAATTTATTTAAACCATATATATTTCAAATATTTTTATATAAAAATGTTTTTATTATTAAATATTATTATTTTTTTTTCTTTAACCCACAATTATGCCATCATGGTGCGTCTTTATTGAGAGATAAAACTATTTATAGTATTATATAGACTTTCATATAAAAACTGATCATTGTTATATATTATTAATTAAAGGATTATACTACTTAAAAAATATTAGGAATCCATTAAACTAGTTTGAACTAAACAAAACAAAGTACTATCAGTTAAATTTAGAAACCAATATTTTACTTCCCCGATAAAATGATATTGGGTCTCTATCTATCAGAGTTATTATTAATAGTTTATTATTGTAAATTATCCCAAAACATAATAAATTGAAAGAAGAAAAAAAGTAAAAAAAAAAAAAACAATTCAAAATCTTTCAAAAAATTTTTATTCAAGTAAACAATTTCCTTTCAAAAGGATTTTATTTAATTAAAATATTCTTTAACTTTGAATTAATCAAAAAACTTATCTATTAATTATCAAAATTATATATTATCTAAAAAACTAATTATTTATAATTATTTATATAGAAAATTTTATCTTATACCTTTTACTTATAAGACTTGAACTTATAGCTTAACTAAAATAATAATGTTAATAGGTTTTAATTTTATTTAATAAAATAAAACTTTATTACTTTAAGACTTAATGAATAATAGAATTAATATATTATAAAATTTTTACTTATTCTATGATATTATAATTGTTTTTTTAAAAACTTTATTGGTTAAAAAATAATTTTTTTTTTTTACCAATAATATTATTAAAAAAAATTTTTTTTTAAATGCCAGCTCAGCCTTTACTTTATTGGTTATAGTTTTTAAATATAAATATAGTACATGTTAAAAATATAATTGTAAATCTATAAAGCTAACAATATGATTATACTAATCATCCTTGGGCATATTGCTGTCTCTAAAGTGAGAACTAGTGAAAAATCACTAGTGCTGAAAAATTTTTGAGGAAAAGCAGAAGGAAGGTCAAAAAATAAATAAGTGAATGGGATGGTTAATCTATATATATAATTCCTTGCTATGTGACTTATACAGAAGAAAGAAAATTTTGTTCAGAGTATTCATTAAAACCTCTTAAGTAATATCAAATACCCATTCATATATAATAGTGAAAACATCAATATGTGATTTGATCATATTTCAAATTCTCCAATAATTTTTATGCAATATTAGTTATATTTCAAATACCTTTATCTAGGTTCTTAAAAAATGCAGGAATCTCTACCATTGTCTTTGGTAGCTGACTTGTGCTCCCTTATGGAAGCTTTCAAAACATCAGTATGAATAATATACAAGAGTATTTTACTAATGTATAGTAGAAAGAGAAAAGTCTTTAGGATAATTACTGAGTCACTTTTTTGAGAAGGTATGAGAAAAAAAAATGTGAATTCAATCTTATCTAAAAATTGAAGAAGTTAGGGATAGGAATGTATATATTGATACTGATAGATCAATTTATAGGCCATTTTCTTTGATTCTTGTTGTTATATAACAGTGCAGTAAAGGTCAATATTCATATAATCTATTCTTTGTATTCTAAAAGCTGAACCAAGAAATAGATAAAAGAACCAGTATCCTATCTTCAAATTTTTACCTATTCAATGGAGCTAGGGGAACCTATCTAATAACCAGAGATAGGTGACTGCATCTCCAAAAATTGGATATAATATCTTATAACCTTTATTATGGTTGGATGGATTCTTTTTGAAGATAGTCAATAACTTATATGATAGTATATTCTGTATTCACCTATACCTGAACTAATAATTTATAGTGGATCCCAGGTTCTTATGGAGTTGAGTAAATGTATTTGAGACATGTAAAATGACCAATAGGAGCTTATTTACATTCTTTTATTGACATGTATTTTTTTGTTCAATCATTATATGAGAAACTTTGTATTACTCAAAATTCAAGGTCAAATTGAAATAAGCAAAATTTCTCAGAAAAATCATGAATAAGCACTATTAGAATGTTTATTATGATAAGAGAGTAGGTGGATGTGTTTTAAAGAGTTTCTCATTATAAATACAACTCTATAGTATTTCTTTACTAAGTGGAAAGACCAAAGCACTTCAGTTCTTCTTCTTTTCAGACTTTTTTGCCATTAGTAAAAAAAGTGTTTCATGGTTTGGGTTAATGAAAATCATGTTTTTGTGTAAAGAAGAATGTTTACAAGAGAGGAGGAAGTATAGTGGTGATTCTTGAGTTTCTTTTCAAGTTGATTTAAGGAAAGTGTTAAGGCATTTTAGCAAAAAAGTATAGTAACTTCTTGTGAACATCTTTTTTGTATGTAGTTAGAAGATCAGCAAAAAGAGTTGATTGATAATATTATTAAAATATATAATTATATCAATAAATGTTTATTATATTTTAAATACTAATATAACTTTATTAATTCGTATTTATAATAAGAATTATATTATTCAAAAATTTAAAATCATATTGAAATAAATCAAAATTCTCTAAAAAACTTTTAAAAAAAAGGTTAAAAGAAGATAAATAATTGATAATAAAAATAAATAAGTTTTTTATTATAAAAAATTTTTATAATAATTTATTTTAAAAATTAAAAAGATACTTAAATACTTTATAACTAATATTTTTTTTAACTATTTTTTAATAATAATAATAAAAATACAGTAGGTAATGAAAAAATTGCCTTTTTTCAAATATATTTAACTTAATAAAGAATTATTTAAACTTTAAATATAAATACTTAAATACCTAAAAATTAATTTTACTTAAGACTATTTTACTGTATAACTTTTATTATTATTATTATTTTATATTTTTATTTTAATTAAAAAGTTTTATATTATATATAAATTTTATATATAACTTATAATATTTATATGAATTAATATATAAAATTTAAAAAAAATTAAAAATAATATTATTAAAAATTATTTTATAAAACTAAAATATTTATATTATTATTTTTTTATATTTTTTAAATAAATAAATTTTATATTATAATAAAAATTTTAATTTTTTAAAAGATTTGAGTAATTTTTTTCATCTCCTACTATATATATCTTATTTTTTTTTATTATAAATCAAATTTTTAATTAAAAATAATAATAATAAATAAAAATTATATTTGAAAATTTTCTTTAAGTTATTTTAAAAAATATTATAACTTTATTAATTAAAAAATTAAAAAACTTTTATATAAATATTATAAATAAAGAATTAATAAAAAAGTTATAATAATATTTTTAATTTTTTTTTTCAAATATTAATAATTTATATATATTAATAAAAAAATATATATATAATTTAAAAATAAAAAATATTTGCAAAAAACTTTATAGTTCTATACTAATAAAATTCAACTATTTTCT